GTTTTTAAAAAGGAAATCTCACCTTTTAGAAGTAGAACCGCACCTTTGGAAGATAATCCATCAAATAATCCATCCAATTTACAAGTTATTAGTCAGATTGTGTTTAGTTGCTAAAAGCTAACCTGAAGAGCTCACCTGCAGGAGCGAAGAACCGGTTTAACAATCATTTACTGCCATCTTGCGGCGAGCGCCATGTAATGCAGACCTCACACTGTCCTGACTCCTGAAAGTGCAGATATGTTGTCTTTCACTGCTCTGTTTGTATTTGTTACATAGTTAAGGGATAATGTACACTGAGCCCACAGGGTTCGCGATAATATGTCGTAACTTACGCTACGTTAGTTATTCGGTTGACGCAGTAACCGTCACAGGGGTCACTCTGGACCCCTCACATCCAGCACACTCCCTCTGAACTGTTGCCATCTGGTCGACGCTACAGAGCACTGAGCACCAGAACGACCAGACACAGGAACAGTTTCTTCCCTCAGGCCATCCATCTCATGAACACTTAACAATAACTGTGGAACACACACTATTTATTCACTCATACACTTATTTATCTAACACTCATACTCAGTCTACACCTCAAATTTGCACATAATATACAGTACCTGTACATACAAAAACTGTCTATTGTAATATACCTGCACATACAACTGTCAATTTATATATTTTTATTCCTTATTTACTTGTTCTATTTTTTATTATCTGTGTTTTTTGTTCTGTCACTGTCATTCTGTTACACTGTGGAAGCTTCTGTCACGAAAACAAATTCCTCGTATGTGTAAACATACCTGGCAATAAAGCTCATTCTGATTCTGATTCTGATTCTGATTTGAGCTTGGAACGCCGACATTGACCAATCAGAATCAAGTATTTCAGAGCGTAGATTACAGTAATAATATATTTTTAAACGTCTCTCCAGATAAAATGTGAATGTTAGTATGACAAAGTCTTTAGCGTTAAAGCAGATTAAAAACGTGTAAGGTTATATGGTGCTTAGTTTAAATAATGGTCGGTTTGATGTGAGATATCAAGCTTTAAAAGTTGCTGAGGTGTTGCTAGGCAGACAGACACACAGATAGATCAAAGGTGTTAGTGGCTACATTTTTATTGACATTTTTGCCGCTTCAAAGCTAACAAAAATATGTAGAACGTTTTACCAGCATCCCAGCGTCAAAACATACCTAACCAGCATATGCTGTTTTTTTCAACAGGGTTGTTACAGTTCCCATTAAGATATTAAAACGTAATGTTCTCTGAACGTTCAAATCATCCATTATTTTTTTCAAACGTTTTAAAAATGTTTTTTCTTGGTTATACAAACATTCCACTTTATCATTTTGCAAACATTATGGGAATGTTACTTTTGTATGTTCTCTATAAAAACAAGTTTAACATCTAAATAAAAAGTTTCAGAAAGTTCAAAGTTCCATGAATAAACAATGTTTTTGTGAACTAACAAACATTCTATTAACAGAAGAACACTTGTTCATAACAACCAATCAAACATGTGGCTTACTTTCTATAAAATGAATGTTCTCTCTCTCTCGCTCTCAACAATGTTGCAGAAGTTCCCTCAGCTGTGTTGCTTTGCCCTACCCTTCTGTCCAGTTGTTCCTGAACTGACTCAGTGGGGTTTAAGTCTGGACACTGTGCTGGCCGTCCATCATTTGAAGTGAAAGCCTGGAGGTTTGTTTCGGGTTCTTTTCTTGCTGTCGGATGAACCCCTGACCGACTAGCTGAGACCAGAGCATGCAGCATTGTGCTGTGAGGATGTGCTAGTGTTCTTGCTTGCAGGGAGCCACTCACTTTAAGCAAATTGCAGACTCTGGATCCAGCAAAAGATCCCTGGAGCATCATGCTTCCTCCTCCATGTTGTACTGCTGGTGTCACACAATAAGAAACATCCTTTCAGTTTAATGGCTTCAAGACCTTATTCCAATCATAAATAGTCCACCGGTGGGTCTTCATGGGCTATTTTGTTATACAGAAACTGCAGGTCTAAAACTTTTAACCTATTGATTAACCTCTTAAAAGTCAAAGTTTGTGCAATAAAAGTAGAGCAAAAATAATTATGGATTTTTGCATCCTACAGATGAATATATCATATTTGACAGCCTGGTTGTGCAGAAAACCATGGAAAAATACAGTAACACTTCATTTAGGGACCAATTCTCACTATTAACTAGTTGCTTATTAGCATGCACATTACTAGAATATTGGCTGTTTGTTAGTGCTTATAAAGCCCACATTATTGCCTTATTCTGCATGACCATATTTTAGATCTCTTAATCCTACCCAATGCCTAAACTTAACAACTACCTACTATTAATAAGCAGCAAATTAAGAGTTTGAGGCAAAAGTCTAAAATACTAATAGGCCATTGCAAAATAAGACTTTGGATGGAACAAGGTTTTTCATGTTTATTTGCTGTCAGTGTCATGAAACATACAGGAAATAAAAGTACAAAAATGTGTTTCATAATTATTATGAAAAACAACAACAGTTCAGTGCTGCACTGAAAAAAACAACAAAGAAGCAACATTGAAAAGTGAATCTACTGTAAATGAACAGGCACACAGTTACTGAGGAGCAGACATTTGATCAGATATGATCTGATTGATATATGACTGCTAGTATAATTGAAACGATGTTTTATTCAACCAGAAACATAACATGCCCAGGCCAAATTTCATCTTGAAACTGAAAAAAATTGTTATATGTCATAAGAAAATTCAATTTAAGGATGATTACCACAACAAAACCTTTTAATAATTGTAATTATTTTCTGCATTACAGTAATGAGAATTCTTGGGGAAAATGTGCTTAACTATCATTAAAAAAAACTGTAATTTTTCCTTTTGATTTTGTTGTTACTTATGACCCGGTTTTTGAGGTTTTGTGAGGTTGCACTGTACAGAAAGCATGAATTGAGAAGAGAAACATACTGTACACTCCAGCATTCACACAGCTGTAGAAAAAAAGACATAGATGAATATGACAGCAATAACGGAGCTAAATATTCAAATAATAATAACAACAGTAATAAAACTAACAGTCAGAGAAAAATAAATCTTATCATATACTGGATCAGAAGTCAAGTTACCAGTGTTCCATCTACAGTGCAATTATGACCTTGGCCATCAGAGAGTTTTTTTAAATGCTTTTCAATTTTTTTATAATTTTTTTTTATTTTAATACACAGCTGTAAAACAATTTATAATATTGTGTTCATTTTACAAGTCATTCTACAAGAAACATACACAGAAAAGATCAGAGAGGATGCAGAAAACACACCAATTGTTCATTTCTACAACAGAAATCGCAGCCCATGATGGTCATTTAGACAGTTTATTTGTTTGTCATTTATTCTATAGAGTCTATAGCTTGGTTATTGTACAGTTATATCGGCTATTCAAAACGGATCATAGGTTATTAGTTTTTACATGAGCTCTGCCAGATCTGAAAGTCACTTTTGATCATTTCACTATTACAAATATTCCAATCCAGGTGCGTGACGCCGTTTACCTGAATTCTGCCGTGTGTCTATAAAAATCTATTTCAAATGTACAACAATTGTTTGATCTGTCATTCGTGGTGACGGGATTTCTCTCACCCATGCATGCAGCTCTAGAATGTAAACCGTCATTGATACATTCCACGGCGTGATACAGCAGAGGATAATGTCAAGTGTTCATGTTATGTGCGTTGGTGACGGGTCGTCATTTACGGCATGCACGGATACAGATTCTCTTCAGCAAACAGGACATTTCTCGCAACAAACACGTCATTTATAAAATACCTGAATTTTTCTGACGCATGATTAAAAGAATAAAAAGGAACCCCTGGAAAACAGCAAGAGTTTGAGCTTATTAAGTGTTCAGATTATGGCTATACCATACCATTTTAAGCCGAGTGCACGCGGTACAGACTGTGCAATAAACGTCAAGTCAGACTGTACATCTTATATATATCTTAGCCTAAACTTGAGTCTTGACTCACAGCATTAACTGGATGTTTTATTTAATTGATAACAATAGTTCTAATGTTGCCAAACAGATGCTAACAAATCGTTTTATTTTTATAAAAAATCGGGACCCAACGTTTTATGAATTAATAATTAAAATTTGGTTCCGGTTTGGTGCAGTTACTCATATTTACCTGGCCAAAAGGTAAGATAAAATTATGACAGCTTGTAATGTAAATCAAGGTTTTATTCATATTTTTTTACGTAATACATTTTCTCTGATTAATTAGCTTGATTAAATAATAGGTGTAATATTTTTTTATTTAATAACAGTTAAAAATGTATTACATTAAATGCCACAATAATAATAATAATAATAATAATACATTTTTTGAGAAAGAAAAAAATCGGGGTTGTTTTTTGTATCCTATTCATGCTGAAAGGAATATTTTACCCAAGATTTGTCTTAGATGGCAAAAAACTATTGAAATATTTGTATTTATTATTTAAAAAACATGTTACATTAAAATAAAAAATCTTCTTCTTATTATTATTAAACTGATTAGATTAGTCATAGACTGCAAAAAATAATTGTAATATTTTTAGTTAATAAAAATAAATATTTTTTACATTAAAATAAAAACGTCATAATAATAATAATTATTATTATTATAATAAAAGTTTTGTTAAAAAATAGGGCTATACAGTATTTTGTACTCTGTTCATGCTGAAAGTAGTCTTTTACCCAGGATTTGTCTTAGATGGCAAAAAATAACAATTGAAATATTTTTATTTAATAATTAAATAACTTGTTACATTAAAATATAATTATTATTATTATTTATTATTATTAGTAGTAGTAGTAGTAGTATTGAGAAAAAAATCAGTCGTACAGTATTTTGTACCCTATTCATGCAGAAAGGAAGCTAAATTATTTTACATTAAAATAAAAATTTAATAATAATAATAATAATAACAATAATTATAATTATATTAATAATAATC